GATGACCACCTGTGAAGAGTAGTCCAGTCAACACTGGACTACAAAGAAATGTATAAGATATGCTGAATACAGTAAAACCTACTTTATTTATTTACTCAAATACAAGACAAGGTGTGTATGTCCCCCCCATCAGTAGTGGAAAAAATGCCCCTCATTTTATACTTGCATACAAGGAAACCTCATTAAAGTAACTGTCTATTATAAAACTGCTGCCAAAAGCAGCACATGGTCAGGCATGGAAACCAACTATGAAGTTGATTACACAGCCAAAACTGACCACAGCTATAAAGTATATGGTCCATATTGGGCAAACAAACTGATGGGAACCTTTTTTTCTTTTGTGCAATACTTAAAAAAAACAAACTGGGAAATTGAATGGGAACATACCACAAGAATAGGTTGGTAGAGCACATCTGAATAAGTGTAGATTTGCCCATTAAGCACAGTCTCCCTCTGCAGGTGACTCTCAAATCGTAGTGAGCCACTACAGTAAACATATTTCTACTTCCTCTTCACTGCCACAACTGAGCTGCACCTTTCTTTCCCATTTTCAGTTATTCCTATTACTTCACAAGCCTTAAATGTCTGGCAAACATCACCAAACATTTGCCATATACTCATTTTACAGACCATTAGGGAGAACAGGTACAGAGGGTGGGGAGGAGACTGCAGGGGGAAGACACTGGGGAGCGGGGCAAAGGTTAAGGGAGCTACTTGATCCTACTGATTTATTTTCCCTTTTGTAGCAGTAGGAAGGAAACAAATTTGACACAAACCTTCATGAATTAGCTTCTATAGCTGGAAAATTATAACATTAATAATTTTTCCACATACAGAATCTAACTATCGAGGAGTTGTCTTATATTCAGAGTCATCTTGTATTCATGTAAATACAATATTTCCACAGCCCTGGACAAACCTGCAGAAAGACTGCTGCTCTTGACAATTGGAAAAACTTCAAGAAACATTAAAGCAAGGACTACCCAACAGCAAAGTTAAATTCAAGGAAGTAAATAAGCAGATAGATCAAGCACTTACTCTACTGCCTTTTCTTGCCTATATTCTTAACACAAAGTACCAGAGTAAATGACTACCTGCCAAAGAGGAAATCAGTGCTATGACACGAGCATCTACTTAATCACTAGGGATCCGGGTTTTCTCCGATTTAAAAAAAAAAATCCCAAATTTTCAGAGATTAAACCCCCCCACAAAAAACCTAGAATCCACATTCCCCCCGATTAAATTGAAACACCACTCATACATATGTAGCATTTCATTTTAAATCAGGGAACAATGTGGATTTTGTTGGGTTTTTTAATCCAAAAATTTGGGATTTTAAATCAGAGAAAACCAAGATCCCTCCAAATCACCTATCAGTCATGCCAACCATAATAAACTTCAAGGCTCGAGATAAACCATTCAAATGGTACATGTTTGCTGAGGATGTTTTTAAAAAAGCCACACCCGTGAACTAACAGAAGTCACTAGCAGAGCACCTGGAACCAGAGTTTGTTGAAGTGCTAAACCAACTTTTACCAACAGTAGCCTCTTCTGTATGTGCAGAAAACATATTTTCTTCAGTTGGACAGGTTCACTCAAAGCAGAAAAAAAAAAAAAAAAATCAACTGGGAGTTGAAAAAGCATGAAAGTTTGTTTTTTTTCTACCAGTCTATTAATTTTAAAAAAATGGACGATGGTATTTATGTATTCTAAAAACTTGAAAGCAGTAAAAAATTTCAAAACAACCGAAGTAAAAAAAAAAAAAAAGACTAATTTTAAAGACCATTAGGCAAGTAGGAACTTAAGCTCAAGCAACTTTCACCATGGCATTTTAGAAAAATTTTGACCCAGGTGACCTGAAAGAATTTGTTTAATTCACTAACCATAGGTCATACTTCTAACACTGTAACAGTTAAAACTAATATTTAATTAACTACTTGTCACTGTGCACCATGCTTTGTTAAAAAAGCTTCTGTATCCAAAGCATTACAGGTTTTGTTTAATAAATTTGAAGTGCTGTTTTTGTGCGCAATTAAATTCAAACTGCCATCTTAATGCAGTCTGATATACATATGAGCAAAAAGTTAATTATCTAGTGAATAAAAAAAGATATATTTCATTATTTTATGCCATACTAAAATGGCAGAATTTCTAACAATCCAAATATATTAAGCCATTTATTTTTAAAATATGTATCTATCTAGTTTTTGTGCGTAGGAAACACATACCAAATCTACTGTAGAAATTGTAAATCAATTAATTGTAAATCAACATTTAATTGTTGTATCAACCAATTAAAATATACTTTAAAAAAAAATACAATGAGAAAGTTGATTTTAAAAAAATTAATGATTTACTCAAGCTTTTGTTTTGCCAATTTAAATCAACTTGATTTAAATTAAATCAACTCTCCTGACTTCAGAAGTACATTTTAGCAAACAGCCAAGAAAACAGAGTGGTGCCAAAGCTTCCTGTAACAGGCTGCAAAGAAGCAGAAGAGTAAAAAGATATAAAAAGAGGAAGATGAACATAATACGGAAGCAAGCCACTCTGCTGGAGTATTCAATACCTAAATCTACACATGGATTGCATCTTGTGGAGCAATGGTTCTCAACTTTTTTTGTACCAAGACCCATCTGTAAATATCAATGGCCAGTCCCAACCCAGTGCCCCTCATTCAAGACCTGCTGCCCTCAGGCCCCAGCCCCCAGTGTGTAGAGCAGGGGGAGGGCATGAGTGGGGCCCAAGCACCCCTTGTAGGCTGGAGCTCTGCCACCCTGCAGGGGAAAAGCCACAGTTACCCATGTTTTTCTCCTTTAAAAGGAAAATCCATTTTTTAAGTTGGTTGATCCATTTTTAAAGTTTGTTCACAACCCTTTTTATATATTCTTGCTACCTACTTTTGGTTCGCAACCCATGGGGTGAGAAACGCTGTTGGGGAAAACATAAATGGATGTTCAGTATGTCAATCTCCAACCAGTACAAGCAGTCTGCTCCCATGGTATTCCAACCTAAACATTTCTGTAACTTCAAAGTTTGTATTGTGCTCTCACACGACAGGATTTATTACAGATGAAAAAATTCCTTTGTGGTATAACTCCCTCTTCCTTCCACACCCAATATTCATTCCTAATGAAATCACTGCACAAAGCATAAGCATTCTATACAGCCACTTTTCAACAATGCAACATGGCCTCAAAGTAAGCATACAACAAATATGCAACTATGGTTCCCTAACAAGATGGACATTTTTGTAGAGGCATTTTTGGGTGTTCACAGTCTTCATAAAGTCTCTCCTCAACCCCAGGCAAAGCTCTTATTCTGGTGTTTTATCGCTGCAGTTCCATGGCAAGTTTTGCACGTGTTGCTAGGAAAGTGGTTCTCTCTGTGGGTCCCATTACCATTCACCAGCTAGTAATAATCAATCATGAACACAAGTGACACCTTCCTGAGTAAAACCATGTCAGAAAAGTTATTCTACAATGCAGAAAAGATGGAGCACTTTGCCAATTAAATCTTAGCTGTACAGAAATTAAAATGTGAAATAAAACTCAAATATCTACCAAAATCTATCATACCTGAATAAACTTGTAGTTGTGTTTCTGGGAAATAGCTTCAAGATTCTTCAAACTTGCACAATAGTCCAGCTTCATAAAAAGACAAAGAAAGAAAACCTTACTATGATGCCTTGTTTTCTTGAAACATGGCATGTCGGAAGCTACTTATTTACTGAGTAAATAGTAAATTACCTTGAGAAGTGCTCCTAATCTGGATTTTAAGACTTTCAAACCAATGTGAATTTTTTTCCACATAACAAGGCCATCACGCTATGGCATGGCTCACTTATTTGTTTGCTGCCTTTTATTTTTTTCTTTAGCAAAATGAAAACAAAATGAACAAACATGCAAACAGCTGAAAAGGCATGCCTCCAAAACCTCCACAGATCTTACCTTATCTAGATTTATAATCAAATAGTTTGGATATTTTTCCACTAGAGAGACAACCACATGAGAGGCACTGTAAGTTAAAAAAAAAAAAGGGAATACAATTTTACAATTACACCCATCTGCCTGGCAACTGACTCCCCAGCCCAGCCCAGCCCCTGGCTTCTTTACTTTTCATTCCATCCAGGCAGAGCGCACACCAACTGCTGCAGCTTCCTGAGCCAGACGAAGAGTTTTTGAACCCGAAAGCTTGCTTAATAACTATTCTCCAACCATTTGGGTTGGTCTAATAAAAGATATCAAATTCACCCAAGGAACCTTGTCTACCTATCTGCTTAGTATCCCAAGCTAAAGCAGGCTGGCACCTCCTGAAACTTTTCTCATGGGTATTTTAGACTTTCATTCTCAGCTTGTAAATGTTGCTACTTCAGTGGTTCTTTTCTGTCTGACCCCAGCAGTCTTTCCTGCCCAAGTGCAGGCGGGCTGGACCTGATAATCTTGTGAGGTCCCTTCCAGCCCCTAATATCTAAGAATATATGAATATACCAGGAGTGCTCAACCCCCAACCCAGGCCAAACATGGGGGAAAAGGGGCCACAGGGGCAAGTCCTGGGATGGAGCCTGGAGTCAGAGTCCTGGAAAGGAGCCCCCACAGCTGCCCCACAGGTAGAGAAAGAACTGCCACCCCTCCTCACTGCCAAAACCCCCAACCCTGCAGGATGGGTCAGGGTCAGGGCCAGGCCATGTTCCATTCCCTCCCTGCAGACTGGGGCTTGGCAGCATCCCCTTCCCTAAGCAGCTGGTTTGGGGCATGCCCCCTTCCCTTCCACCTGCCCCACAACCAGGCTATGCCCCCCGTCTCTCCACCCAGCCAGGCTGGGGCCAGCCCCTTCGACCTGTGGGCTTAGGCCGCGCCCATGCCCGCGGGGCGGGACCGGTCGGGGCTGTCCCCCAGTAACAAACCAATGCGCTGCTCGTTCCCTCCAAACGTTTCAGCCCCAGCCCCCACAGCCGGACAAGGGGTCCCCGGCCCCGCTCGCACACGCACGCCACTGACATGAAGCCGGCGCCACCTGTCACCAGTAGCCGCTTATCGAAGGCCGGAAGCAGCCCCGCAGCCCCCGACATCCTCC